TATGAGCCAGCCTTCCTTCTTTTCCGCGTGTGCACACGCTGCAAACCCGTTCAACATAGACACGCACTGGGCTTCGTCAAGATCAGGGAGACCCGCTGCTCCCCTAACTTTTGTACCTTTGTGCTAGACGACCAGTGGGAGAGTCAACAGGATACATGAATATATATGAATTTATGAGGATTTCTTTGTTTCTAGGTGTTCTCCACAGAAATTAGAGGCTATCTATCCCAAGCTGGAGAAAAAAGTCAATGAATCGCCCCTTGAGCCTTGTTCATCCCTGAGCTGCACCATCTCAGACTCACCTGGGCCTCTGTCTTCTTCTTCCAACCAGTCCAGCCCCCAATCAGGCCTACCTGGTGCTCCTTCAGGCCTGCAACCTCCCCAGAATGTTCCCGTTTCCTCCCCCCCACATCTGTGATGGCTGACTCTCTGACACTCGGAATCAGGGTCCTTCCTGACCAGGGTCGTGCTTGTCGCCCCCGCTGTGGAGGTCAGGATCCGTAATCTCCAGGACTGTTCTCAACACCTCCATTTTGCCTTCGAAGCAATAGTAGTGCCTGTCACTCACAATCTTGCATTAAAACAGGAGGCCCAGGCATCTGGACAGCACAAGCTCCCCTGAGTGAGGCCACCTTGGCACGTGGCGCCCAGCTGGTCTGTCGGAAGGAATATCCCTCTGAGCTCCGTGGCGTTGTTGTCTGTGCCACCAAGGGGCTCTTCTTTATTACTCCAGCAGACAGACTTGAGGTGGCCACATGGTCCTTGCTTCAAGTTCTCGCGTGTGAGATCTCTGAATTCTCATCAGTGGAGTAAAGCAAAGGTAATGGGGTGTTACTCTGGTGAGTGGTTTCATTGTGTAAGACTCCTCCTGGCTGCTTGACGACAGAAGTGGCCCACTGCAAGGACCTACAGGCAGCCTACAGGAGCTGAAAGCAGCTTCCCTCCTCCAGCCTGCGAGAAGCCGGGGCCCTCGGGCTTGCAGCTGCAAGGAAATGAACCTGCCAACACTCGGAGCGAGTTTGGAGATGGATCCTTCCACACGTGAACTTCTAGGTGTGAGCCCAGCCCAGCTGACACCTGATGGGGTTAAAGTCACACAAAGAACTTGTCCTAGCAGGAGTGAGGGGAGACGGATGGGTCCTACAGATCTCTCTACTGGAAAGAAGTCAGCTAAGCTGCAGGTACCCACGGGCCCTCTGCCTTTTTCAAATAGGGCCTCGCTGTGTTACCACCTCTTCCTCATCCTCCCAGCTGGACTACAGCCACACACCATCATGCCCGATTGTTTTCTAGACAGGCTCCCATTTTGTTGTCCAGACCAGCTAGCAGTCCTCCTGCCTTGGCCTCCCTGGTCTCTGGGATTACAGTCACAGGTGCACACCGCGGTCCCTAGCCTTCAGATTGGACTGTGGATTGCCTGGGCTCCCGCAGTGTCCTGTTCTGTGGCCCACAGCATCTTAGCAGCATGTGCCCTCTTCTGACTGGGCCAGCGATGAGCATATGAGCAACACTGGAGTGTTGGCCAACAGTCTAGGAAGCTCCTGTCAAGAAAGATTTTATCCAAGAAGGACAAGGATAATTAACTGAAACCATTGGGTTCTCTTTGAAATTTAAAAGAGCTGTATGATTGAGTCATTCGTTTGCAGGAAGAACAACAGCATCAGAGCTGCACAGGTGGCTGTGTACTGGAGAGAGTGTCCGTGATCCGTGCCGCCGAGTGCCACAGCATGGTCCAGCATAGCCCCCTCCCTTCCAGATCTGGGGCGTACTGTGTATGATTGCATAAGGGTCATGAGCACAGACCTGGCAGCCAAGCCAACCAAATTCAAATGTATACTCTGGGGACCAGCAATTGGCGCAACGGCTATGTCACTGAATTCCCATGTCGTCGACTGCGGTTCAAGTCCTGGACCTGGAGGCTTAAACTCACTCCAGCGCGTGTGCGTGCGTGCCCAAGATCCCGAGAGGAGAATGGAGAACAAGGGATGGCGGCGTGGCCATTCCCCCGGGGGGGGGGGTGATTTCTTGCTTTCTGTCTGTCTCTCTCTCTGTCTCTCTGGCGAGCGCACACGCCCTATTGGCTGATTTAGGAACGCATGTCTCAGTTTTCTTATGTATAAATGGGGATATTAATAGTACCGGGCCGTCAGGTGGCATAATGGTTACGGGCACTGAACTCACATGGCTGACCACGGTTCAAGTCCTGGACCTGGCGGCTTGCTTTCTCACTTTCCCTCTCTCTGTCTCTCTTTTGCTCTGTTCTTCTCTGGTCAAATTAAAATAAAATAAATAAATAAAGATAAGATAAAATAATTCTTTAAAAAATAGTACCTATACCATAGAGTTGTTGCGAGGATTAAACGAATTATTATAAAAAATATTTATTATGGCATCTGGCCAAAATCAGCTCTATGTGTGTTACTGTTATTCTTGACTCTCTTGTTCTTCCTGTGGAACATAACAGTGTTCCCCACCACCCTGTGAGGCCTAATGGTGAAACCCTCATTTTCCTTATTTCCATGATAATAAATTTTCCTATTATTGAATTAATGGGCATGGATCTCCCTTTTCTGCATTAGAAAGAGCTGTTTCAATGTAGGCTGTGAAAAGTCAGGAGTAGACTTGTAGATGCCTCAGTCATGCAATACACCTTTGGAGTCTTGGGAAGGGCAACTGGGAACATGAGGACTCTAGAATTTAACACTTTCTTTTTTCTTTTTTTGAGAGGTTTTTGTTATAGGGCATGTGCGCTAGCCAGAAAGACAGAGACAGAGAGACAGAAGGCGAGAAGTCACCCTCCAGGGGGGATGGCCACGCCACAATCCCTTCTCCTCCATTCTCCTCTTGGGATCTTGGGCACACACGCACATGCATCCGGCATGAGTTTAAGCCACCGGGTCCAGGACGTGAACCGCAGTCGACTATGTGGGAGTCCAGCGACATAGCCATTACGCTAACTGCTGGTTCCAACTTTAACACTTTCTGAGGAAGGAACTAGAGTCCTGATTCTGACAGGCGGAGCATGCAGGTTATCAGGCTGCCTTACCCCAAAGTCACTGTGTTTGGCCTCTATCCACCTGCTCTGTGCTGACTCCACATTCAGAAGCGGGTAAACATTCAGTGAGACTACCTAGGGGAAGAGCCAACATGACTGGCCAACGTGAGTGTTTTCACTCTTTAGTAGTTTTTGTTTTGCTTTCTGTTTTTGAATTTTTGCCATGGGGGAGTGAGCTCATCAGAGAGACAGAGAAAGAGAGAGGGAAAGTGAGAAATCATCCCCCAGGAGGGATGGACATGTCACAATCTGTCTCCTCCATTTTCCTCTCAGGACTTTGGGCACACACGCACAAGCTCCCAGTGTGATATCTCAGGCTGCGAGTCCAGGACTCGAACTGTGAAGTTGGCCATGTGGGATCCAGAGCTTTAATAATCATGCCACCTGCTGGCCCACTGACTGTTAGTTTTAGTCCACGGTGTAAGAAATATAAATTGTCTTTCTGAATCCAAATCACTTTTGGGGAGAGCAGCCAGTGTGAGAACATCTGCCAGGACCCGTGCCGGCCTCTATGCCTGAGTGCGGCAGTGCCGTGTAGTGGTTAGGCGTTCTGGAGTCCGTCACAGATTAAAGCCTGGCTGCATGACCGTGACTGAGCAAAGTCAAGGCCCACAACTCACTGGGCCTTCACCTCACAGTTAACTAAGATTAAGTGACACTAGGCTTGCAAAGCCCTCCAGCACGCCGGGACCTTCATACACACATACTTTGGAGGCAATTTGTCATTTTTAATGACTCAACTAAGGCCAATAAAAATAGAAAGATATGGGACCAGCAGTTAGCGTAATGGCTATGTCGCTGGACTCCCACGTAGTCGACCACAGTTAAAGTCCCGGACCCGGTGGCTTAAAACTCATGCTGGTCACGTGTGCATGCGTGCCCAAGATCCCGAGTGGAGAACGGAGGAGAAGGGATTGCAGCATGGCCATCCCACCTGAGGGGTGATTTCTCGCTTTCTCTCTCTGTCTGTCTGGCGAGCACACACGCCCTATAGCAAAAACCTCTCTAAATAAATAAATAAATAAATAAATAAATAAATAATAGAAAGATACAATCTCCTTTTTAGTGGAATCTTGGGTTTGGGGGCGTTGGGTGTGTTTTATCATTATATAAGCACCTGTGCATGCCTTTCTTTGAGGGGGAATATATTGGGTCATCGGAAAAGTCATGATCATTGTTGCATAGAAAGACACGTGGTGACTTTTCTAATGACCTAGTACACTTTACATGAAACACCAAACACTCCCAGGGAAGCAGTTCAACCCCCTGCAACCCTTGGCTGCTGCTCACCACTTCTTTTTCCCTTGCAGAGCTGAGGATGAACAATAGAACTGCCTGAATGGATTCTAAGCCCTGGCCTAAGCATGCTGGGCATACTCCCTTTGGGTTTGCACCCTGGGCTCACCTCCGCCCAGGAGACCCAGGGGGCAGATGGCAGGACATTGTGGTTTCTGCTGAGCAGAGTAAACAGACAAAATGTCAAAGAGGTACCAGTGAAGGACACAGACACTATCAAATAAACCCTAAACATGGCCACTCTTACCAGTTAAGACACAGCTTTTATTAAGCATAGGATTTAAAATCCCACCTTGGGATGACTGGTACCATTTTCCGAATTCTAGCCTGCCATGCGTTGGTGCCTGTACCTGTCCCAGATTCAGCACCCGAGAGGGGGTTTCTGGAGCCCCCAGCCCCCAGCTTCCTCACACCCTGCCTGACAACAGCTTTCTCCTTTACCGCCTGGCTTCCTGTGTCACGGAATTCTTCACTCCAGCTCTACTCTCTGATCTTTCTCTTCCTCCACCTCCCTCTCAGAGGTCACTTGTGTCAGCCCCAGCGCAGTCTCAGTTCTTTAGCTGAAGGACACAGGCCATCCAATTCATCCCCCACCTCCAGCTAGGACTCAGTTACACAGCACAGAGGGGCAGAGGGTGCTAGCTCTCCGTGACTCAGTCCTTCCAGCCCTCTTATGTCTCGACCTCCAATGGAAATCGTTTTCCCCAGAGGTTGAATGTCACCCTGGGTCATAGTTGGTGGTCAGGGCCCTGCGCCTTCATCTCAGGAGTCACACCCCCAGGAAGTCGGGGGCAGTGCGTGGTGAAGGGGTGGGAGTAGCACATGTCTGCTAGCTAGGACAGTTCTGCCATTTGTGGGGTGGAGACGGCCCAGCATCCCAGGGTCGCAGCTCATCTGGCCAGTCCTCTGCCGTCCCCGCTTCCTAACATGCTTTCCTGTGCCCTTCCTCATCCGCCACATGCATCCTCTAAGTTGTCCCTTCAGAAAGCCGTCCCCAACTCGCTCCTCCTCTGGCTGGGCTATGCCCCTCCTCTGAGCGTCCCTAGCACCAGGCCAGACCTGTCACAGCACCCACCACGCTGTGCCTTCTCCACGGTCTTCCCAGGAACTCCTTCAGATACAGGACAAGTCGATTGATTTTATTTTCAAATTGCTAATGGCCACCACACTGCTTGGTTCATAATTAGCACACAATAAATATTTCCTGAGGATATAGGTACGAGAACACTGATATTTTGGGGAGATAACAAGGTGAAGAGAGTTGGGGTGCCTAGCTTAGACTCACATGATTGGTTGGTTATAAGACCAGGTCTAGAACCCAGGTCTTCCGGCTCCAAATCTAGTACCCCTTCCTCTACACAGCTACTGCGCCTGGTGGGGTGCAGGGAGGAGGGCTGGCAGCAACCGGAGCACTGGGGAGAGCCTGACCAGTGGATGGAAGGTCGTCCACCTTGTCCCTTACCACAGACCTTCACATTGTCTAAAGGAGCCGTTTCTGTTCCAAGTCTGCCTGATGACCCAGCCAGGGGCAGGTCCAGGTGGTGCTAGATGTGAGTCCTTTATCAAAGAGTCACTGCGCTCTCTCAGGAGCTCAGAGAGAAACTGGACCCTCGGCCCCAGAGCCCAAAGAGGGGAAAGACCTTCTGCGAGAAGGAGGCCGTGAAGGTGTAGACGGGCTCCTGGGTGACAGCATTGGAGAAGGTCACCCAGCCCACTTCGTAGTCCAGAGACACTCGCAGCTGCCGGGGCTGCTCCTCCAGGGCCAGCCGGGTGGGGAAGGAGCCCAGAGCGGAGACGAACCCCCACGCCAGCCTGAGCGCCCACACGCCCTCCTCTGGCCGCAGCCGGACCTCCCCCTTCCGCTGCACGTCCTCGCTCATCACGCCCACCGTGCAGCTGCCCCCGTGGGCCAAGTCTACGCTCACCACCCACGTGTGTCTCCCCCCTGTGAAGCCATCTTGGGCCAGGACGCAGGTGGCCCGGTCAAAACGCTGGCGGCTGTCTGGTGAGTTCTGCCATTTGTAGGAGAAGCGAGCCCGCTGGAGGTCCTCGGACAGGAGGAGCTTGGGGTGTGCCGTCTGGGGGTCCAGAGAGAGGTGAGCTGTGGGGAAACCAGAGGAACACAGATGGCAGCAGACCTGCTCCCACCCTCCAGGAAGGCCTGAGCACGCCCCTGGCGCACACCTGTTGGCAAGTACTACGGGGCCGGCCCCACCCACGTCGCCGTGGGCTTGTTAGAAACCGAGTCCCGGCTGCACTCCAGGGCCCGGCGTGCGCGTGGGCGAGACGCCCAGGGACTGGCCTGCTTCAGAGGCGGCGGCTCTCACCGGCTCCCTGCAGCCCCTTGGGGGGGGGCTC